GAAATGTTCACATGCTTCCAGAATTGTATTCCATTGTGATCTAGTATTATTTGGTATTTCAGAATCCTTCCACACTTATGCTTTGTTTGTTTCATATCTATAAATGTAAACTTACAAATTGAAAGATAGTAAAAATCAGATTTATAGCAAAGCAAAGTTTCAGGAGTACCAGAACAAATGGAAACAATATGAAAATCTTATTCAGGAGTAAATATTGACAATGTGAATTAGTTCATTTCTGATTATTTCATCTATAGTATGAAGTATGAATGCGAGAGTGAATGTTGTATTTATGTGTAAAAAGAATTGGGTGTGAATCCGCGTTACTGCAATGGCAGCTCGCCACATAGTCGCCATGCCAAATTCATGGACAGCACACAGTAATATAACAGAAAGCACACCCCTGCCTCGACCTAATCTTAAAGGGACTCTGATCTTGGTAATCCCGGCCCCCGTTACTGCTTGTTGCGTTTGTTAATATTGATTTTCCACGCGACTACCCTGATGATTTCCCAGAATTCTTGACTGGGGTGCGATATCTGCTGCGCCATCAGCAAACACAATTGGTAGAATTATGACCTATCCTTACTTTGATCAACAAAGAAGAAATACAGCTTCGTCTTGCATTTAATGGGAAATGTTGTCATCTGTTTGATCGATTAATGTCCCCATTTTGATGATTATAACAGCACATAATTTGGGGGGAAGTTTAAGTACATCTGCCAGTGGTAAAAAATGTTAAGATTGAACGAAAACGAAGTCAATTACGCCTGTATATTTTTGCCTTATCATCCTGGCATCATAAATTAATTATCATATTATTAGGCACTTTGTGGCTTTATAGAAAGTACACGATCTGTGACTTTATTAAATGACTAGGCATTTTATATATTGCCTAAGCGAATCATATTTCACACACACACACACACACACACACACACATACACACACACACGCCCAAAGTACGACCTGGCGTGTGTTGTCTGCCTCGCATCGAAGAACTGAAGAATGCTGCAACAAATGAATAAAAACAAAATACAAATATCAAAATTAAAACCAACTCAAGTTATGTCAGTAATATCAGGCTATGTCAATAATATCCATCAATATCCACATAAAGGAAAGATATTCAATTATCTGCAGGTGACAAAGAAATCTGATATTGAAACGTTGTAGGTAACGATACTTTCTCTACTGGTGACTTGTTTCAGGGTTTTTGTTACATTGGTGTATAGTCTCCTTGGTGACCCAACACTGCACACCTGACAACTATTTAGATAATCCACCATTCTTAAAACAAATATTTTAGTTAGACAACGATGGAGGGGACGGACAAAATCCCATTGGACATAATTTCTTTGGTCAAAATACCACACGAAAATGACCAACATAGGACAAAATCCCATTTTAAAGGTCACTGCTACCCTTTTTCACCAGTTTTAATAGCATGTTTACATGACAGAAGCCAGTGAGATAAGAATCATGTTATTAGTACTTATGTACATCAGTTAAGATGTACGAAGATGATGATGTTTTAGAATGATGCTTCAGATGATTACATGTACCATGAAAATATACCAGGATGATGCCTTATGTTGTGTGATTGCGTTGAATTATGTTATTATTGCTTATATCTGTTTCAAAATAAATTGTATGTCATTTTTCACACTGTTTGGATTTTGTCCGAAGTGTGCAGACATTTTGTCCTATGTGATTTTGTCAGGTTGGGTTTTTGTCCTACCCTCACGCTTACGATGGGCAATCAGTCAGCGTATTGACAGTTAATCCTCAGAAGAAAGGAGGTTGGTTTTACAGGGGCACTTTCCGACAGGATATGGAGGTATTCAGCAGAACGGAACAGAACAACTTTATTTATAAAGACTTGAGCTCACAGAGCCCCTCGTCAACGTAACAAAATAATTTTTACATTCAGAGCATGGAGGCAGGACATTTAAAAATTAACTTTTAATATAAACTTTGCTTGATGGGTTTAGCTAGATACAACTGAGAAATTCAGCATGCGTTAGTAAATCTACATATATAAGTACTAACGTTTCACAAATCCGCTGGGCAAAACAAAAGTAATTGATCAATCAGCGTATTATCGGTTAATACTTTGATCGATGTTTGTTTTTTAACTCAACTGGAGAATCCTCTTTTTGTGCTTCTATGTGCATGTTACATAACATGTGTTACATTTGCCACATCAGACCTTAATTGATAAGGTGAAAACCACACACACAAGAAATGCCCAAGAGGAACCTTTTCCAGGTAATCCAAGTGGTGTCACCAGTAGTTATAAATTCATTAACTGACCATCAAGTGAATGATGACACATAAACTGGTGCAGGTTTATGCAATCATACCACACGGGGTAAGTAATCATTGTATTTCATGCGATTAAGGATTCAAATACATTTGTAAATCAAATGCATGTTTTAATATCATAGGTCAAGAGACATCACATGGCAGTAATACATGGCATGATTTAATATCGAGGTAAAACACAGCAATAGGATCAAATTGGATCCGTCATCATACCATCCATGCATCAGAAAATCCGAAGAAGGCCTACACTGCTGGGATACTTGATGACAATCAGACTAGAACTACCGGGGATATTTCCAAATAACGGCATCTGATGGGCATCCACCGTTCTCATTGTCTGATTGGTTAGGTCGAAGAAATGAATTAACACGTGTCCTTTGGTATATGTATATGCATATATACAAGACTAGAATGACAATTCATCCAAGGCGGACAGCTGCCTAGTCCCCGTGTCCGTCACAGTTGAGGGAGCAGGGACTGACCACCTGACAGCTTGGCGACGTAATTAGATTTTTGGCACGAAACATGAATCGCTCTAAATCAGGACCCCTTTAAAGAAGGAAAACGTCTTTGAGCTTAAAACGCAGTTTAAATTTGAATCGGACTTTGGACTAGGATCATGTGAAGGGATTGTTGCTTTTATCAAAAATGTTCTCAAGAGAAACAGAACCTGGGTACTGTTTCTGCATGTTTCATGATCTGGTTGCATTGCACATGTTTTTACTTGTTACTTTCCCACAAGACCGGTCTATTCTCCAGATAACAAATGGAACCAGCCTATTCTATAGATAACAAATGGAATTTGTTAAAGTAAGGACCATTGGTTGCAGCGAACATGTGATGCAGAAAAAATCCAGAAGATAAAGTATATATAGGGCCCCACGCTTGTCTGTCTTTCTTCTTATCTACGACGGTAAGTGGAGCTATGATCGTGTGAGAGAGCTTTGTGAAACACCATGTTGATTACGACATATGGGGGACAGTTAGATTGCATTGAAATTTAACTGTTTCTATTAGTTAGTGTATGTACATTGCTGGTCAGATGCTTTCACGAACACCACAAACGGTAGTTCAGACAATCTCTGCTGCCTTTTAAGCCAATTGGAATCATTTTCTCTAGATATTCGAGATTGGATGGTTTCTTGTGTTGGCGTTCTATTCGTGTTGAAGATTTGTGCACTTACATTGGGAAATACATTTAGTTTGTGTTTAATGTCGTATAGATAGCTGCATAGGCAATGTGTCATCGGTTATTTTCAATGAAGAGGGAAAAGATTGTTCATGACTCTGTAGTCTAATGTGTTGAATGTAGTTTTGTCTGTTGGATGGAGCGTTGTGTAGTGTTGGGGTTTAACACCGATTTTAAGAGATACCCTGCCGCGGTGGATCATGGATACCTGTGTAGAAGCGTAGAATGTCCTTGTTATATCCCCCCATGCCGAATTCAGTGATATAGATGATTTTAATGGAATTATCAACAAAGACAATGACATGTTTGTTGCCCTGGATACGTCTTAGTCTGAACACAGGCTTATTCAGAGGAACTTTCTAATTACCATTTTGCTGCGGTTTTAGGGGGAGTGTGGTAGAGCTCCTGTCAAGTGTTGGTGCAGGCTGCTGTGTCGGGACGATCACAGACTGTAAACGCTATTAAATGCTCAGATGACTGAACGGCTATGAATTGGCTTGTCATATTAAACGTATTCTTGGAGTTGGATGTGTGTGGTTAACACAAGATGCGACGATACCTGTTCAGCTGTTTCAAGAAAGATTATTTGACAATCTTCAGCAATCATAGTGCTGTTCTATCAACAGTTCATCTAACTCGTTCTGTTATACGCAGTTACATCCGTGTTAGATCTAGAAAACCAATTTACATTCCCTATCCCTAAGAAGAGTTCTCGGTGGTCTGTAGCTGGTTATGAGACTTTGCAAATACTGTGGTGCAAGACCATGCGTTGCTTTGAACACAAGGAGGAGGATCTTGTACTGAAGCATACTGGATACAGGCAACCATTGGAGTTGACGGAGAATTGGGCTGATGTTATCAAATTTTCTTGTCCTTGTAATGAGTCTTGCGGCTGAATTCTGTGCATGCTGTAGCTTGTTGATGAGACGTTTAGGGAAACAAACAGAAGAGCGTTACAATAGTCAAAGGCGTGATGGATAGGCCTATGGCCTCTTTACGGAAGGAACTGTGTGTCTGTCTATATGTAATTTTTATAAGTGAGCGTGTGTGTGTGTGTGCGCGCGCGCATCTCACTCTGTGTGGACACGCATCGTGTACGTATGTATATTGACATGTGTTTTGTTTGTGTCATAGGCTCAACCAAAAATATACAACATGAAGGTCGCTATCTTCCTACTCTGTCTCCTGCCTCTGGCCTTCTGTGAGAAGAAAGCCTTGCTAGGAAACAGTGAGTGTCAACACTGTACATATCACATACAGTATCGTCTACAGTCTGACTATGTATGAGAACCCCCAAGCAGGCACATCAAACAGGGCATCCACCACTATCGCCACACCACCGTCACCCCTCTCTCTCTACTGTTGTATTCATAATTATTCAGTTATTGAGCAGTATTCAGCAATATTCAATAGTATTCAACGGTATTCAGCAGTATTCAGTATTTGTGAACAGTATTCTGTCAGCACAATGCTGTGTTTGCAGTTCTCGACAGCGCCGAAATAAAAAACCTCGTCAGCTCAGTTGTGGAGAAGTTTGGCAGTGACGCAACTGAACAGGACTGTGAGAAGGAGTGTCTCATCCTCTTCACCAACGACATTCTCGACCTCGGCTGTGACTTCGCCTGCAAGGGGTAAGTCAATGATCGTAAAGACACGTGTTGTAATGGTTGATAATGTAACAACAATTCCTTAGCCATTGATTGGATGTACATTTGCTTCACAAAATGTGTTTTGTTTCAGAATCCAGAACCTTATCAAAATTATTCCCCACAACCAACCTGCTACCGCTGCCACCAGATAAAGGATTTGTATCCGGCCATGAATAAAATGTAACTTTGCTTCCATGAAGTCTTTGTTATGGATAATACGAGCCGTCTATAAAATGTTACTACATGTACAGCTGTCTTTGTGATTCCCTCTACTCACTTGATGCTCAGCATTAGTTGAAGTCACATAGGATTATAGCCTTCACCACTGATCATATAATGGTCTACATGTACGTATGTGCGCGCGCGTGTGTGTACCTTGCAAGTGAGCAGGGGCGAGAGAAGGAGAGAGAGATGCGGAATTAGAGGGAGGCAGGGAGAGGCAAAGAGGGGGGATAGAGGGCGGCAGAGGGAGGGAGGCAGACAGAGAGAGAGACAAAGAGTGGGAACGGCAGAGGGAGGGAGAGGCAGGCGGAGAGAGAGGGAGAGAGAAATAGAGAGGGAGGCAGAGAAAGGGAGAGAGAGGAGGCAGAGAGAGGAGAGAGGTAGAGGCAGAGAGAGGGAGAGGCAGAGAGAGGGAGAGAGAGGGGAGAGGCAGAGGGAGAGAGGGAGGCAGAGAGAGGTAGAGGGAAAAGAGTGAGGGAGGCAGAGGGAGAGGGGGAGAGGGAAAGCGTGAGAGGGAGAGAGAGAGAGGAGGGAGAGGCAGAGAGAGAGAGAGGAGAGAGAGAGGAGAGGAGAGAGAGGGAGGCAGGAGAGGGAGAGGAGAGGGAGAGGAGAGAGGCAGAGGGAGGCAGAGAGGAGAGGGAGAGGGAAAGGGTGGAGAGGGAGCAGAGGGAGGAGAGAGGGAGAGAGAGGCAAAGAGAGAGAGGGAGAGAGAGGAGAGAGAGGAGAGGCAGAGAGAGGGAGAGAGGGGAGAGAGAGAGAGAGAGAGAGAGACAGGCAGAGAGAGGGAGAGGGAGGCAGAGAGAGGAGGGAGAGGCAGAGAGGGAGAGAGAGAGGAGAGGGAAAGAGTGAGGGAGAGAGAGAGGCAGAGAGAGGGAGAGAGAGACAGGCAGAGAGAGGGAGGGAAAGGCAGAGAGAGGGAGAGGGGGATAGATCACGGGTGGCATTACACATTTATTTGTGTGTATCGCCGTCGTTAGCGCTATTCTATGTGAGTATATCATGGGTTGGAACCCCGCGCGATTCCATTTATGTATGTCGACTTTGCAGCACTATCTCCATGCTCGTGGGATTCACCAAAGTGGAAAACCCATCGAACATAGCATGGGCCTGTTACCTACATTAACCTGAACGGCCAGGTTGTGCTAGACATATTGGGTGTAGGAGCGTTCAGTCCATTCATATTGTTCACTCGGAACCGTAAAAGAAACATCGAATGAGGCGATAAATGGCCATATTTAATGACAGCTGTTCAAATTATCAGTCACTGCATTGCCGCACATGTACATGCACGTACACTGGACTGGAAGTCTTCTGTACAGTGTTATCAGGTACAAATGCATCCCCAAACCATTAGAAAAGTATCAGATTCCTTATTTAGATTTGCGGTTATTCTCATGAGTGCTTTGAGGTTGAAAGTGCCATTGTGACAGATTGTCGCGAGTTACAAGGAAAGAGCTGAACACTGTCGCCGTGATCTTACATTCAAGCAATCGACAAATGAGTTGCTCGCTATTTACCCAATTACGAAACACGTGGGTTCAAGGTCAGATTCCATTGTAAACGAATCAAAACTATATGTTCGAACATGAGATCAAGATCAATTCAGACTCGAACCATTTCAAAATATAGCTATATTAACACCGGTAGAGTAGTGCGTAATTAGTAGGTAACTGTGGAGTCTACTGACGCCCGAACGCAGTAACAAGGATAGATTTGTCATGTCAGTTGCGAACTCGACTGAAAATGACCTAATGTTAAGGCAAGTGGGGACTTTCTCTCCGGAACATGTCATTCGTACGACACAGTCATGCTTAAATTTCACATGTTTATCTGAGTTTAAAACGGTCAACCTAGCTTTGCTTCAAATGTCTACTGAATGTTCAGTTCATGGATTAATAACAATTCTATTCCCACAATTGGCAAGTCTATATGTGCGGACAGAACAAGACCACCACTCGTTCACAGAGACAACTTGTTCTTAATTGTCGATACAGTTATTTAAGCTAATAATTATTGTTTTGGTGTCGTGTGTCTTGAGTCTACTGTCAACTCATAACACTGAATACGCCCAGTGATTCTAAACTCAAAGTACGTATCTGTTCAATGCGTCTTCGCAGCAAGACTCAAGTACCGTATTTGCTGTCTTAAATCGACCATTTATTAATATAGAGACGTATGAGAGCTTTTCGAACTGAATAGACTTGTAACCACACTCGAGTATTAATTTAAATAACTTTCCAAATGTCTTGACCAAGATATTTTCAAATCGCTTTCACAAAGATAAAGCGCAGACTAATTATTTCCCCCATACTGTAATTATTCTTGCATTAGATAAGTATATTTTGTTTAACCGGATGTAGGTTTCCAGTTCACTGCTGACGTATGAAGACATTATATATGCATATGAGGTGAAAACGTATTTCTAAATAACCGGTAATCTTTCATACCTTAGATCGAATTCGTTACTCAACTCGATTTAACATACAGCTGAGGCTCTTTGAATACTTCTTTATAACCATTAGTACATTGTGTCCGTGCTGGTTATAACCGTCATAGCTATCACTGTTCTCCTGCCACTCATGTCTTAAAGGGGAGGTTGGGTAGCCCAGTGGTTAAAGCGTTCGCTCGTCACACCGAAAACCCGGGTTCAGTTCCCCACATTGGTACATTTCTGGTGTCCCCCGCCGTGATATTACTGGAATATTGCTAAAAGCGGCGAAAACCCAACTCACTCACTCACATATGTCTTAAAAAGGAAAGTGTTTTAATGATCAACAAAATACATGCGCATGGGCGATTTCTCCACCGAATACGTTACGTTAAAAGCGGCGAAAACCCATCTCATTCACTCACATATGTCTTAAAAAGGAAATGTATTTTAATCATCAACAAAATATATGCGCCTGCGCGATTACTCCACCGAACACGGTACGCTGGGGAGACGTCTAGGCGCGTTAGCGTGTTGGGCGTTGCCTCAACTTCACAGCCGGGAATGTCATCGTGCAAAAAACTACATAACTTAAAAACAGTTAAACAGCGTCACGTGACTAGAATATAGGCCTTAGAGGGAACTCGGCGCATCAGTTTACGAGAGTTTATCACAGGGAGGAGCAGAGACCGTTCGATGGTTAACATGGGAAATAAGCAAGACCAGAGCTTGTCAATCCGATTGTAGTCTGCGTAGCCTGGAGCAATAGGTGGACTACCTTCGAGAGACAATAATGTAGGTAAGCAAGCTGTCTTGAATCGATGCTTTTATACACAAATCCTATTTTATGACAGATCCACTGTAAATTCACTTTCGTTAGTATTTACAAACAAAACGGATGTATATTGCTGAGAACGTCTATTGATGCCCATTCAATATATAGATGATGCGGAAAAGACAGTGTAGGTGAGATCATTTGCCTCTATTACGTCGTGCATAGCGTTAGAGAGAAAAGGATACTCTTTCATTTCTTTGTGTGGCATTTTAGAAGTTGGGAAGTACAATAATTGTGGATAACAAATTCTATTGATAAGTAGCGTCGTACTCACGAAATAATAGAAGCTGCTAACCATATATCCATAAAGTTTGTTAGTATTGTGCTTTTTACTGTTGTTTCATCTTGTGTCATGTCGTGCATTCTATATGTATTTAATCGTGAGTATCTTCTCCATGAAAGACGCAAACGATGAGAGCGGGGTCATAGTGTGATGTACTACTCCCCCTGCCACTAGCTTAGTATGTTCATAACATGAATCGATCGTTTGATGTTTGGGTGTTTGGAATTTATTTTTTGGTTCCACTAAATACATAAAAAATATCACATCTTTCACCCTAGATACCACAGTTCACTAGATATACTGGAGGACACTTACAAAATGCGGACGTGATCTAACACCAAACCTGACAATGTAGGCGATGTCTGAGGTAATTACATGCCAAGGAAGTACAACAACATATATATAACGCCAGTTTATATGAAAACTAGATAGGGATTCGCAATTTAGGGTGAGTTGGGTTTTACGCCGCTTTAAGCAATATTCCTGCAATATCACAGTGGGGGACAACAGAAATGAGCTTCACACATTGTACCAATGTAGGCAATCGAACCCGGACCTTCGGTCTAACGAGCGAACGCTGTGACCACTGGGCTACCCCACCGCCCTAAGATAATTACAGGTAATTAGGTGAAATTGTATCAAATCTTCAAATATCAGTAATTATGCTCCCGTCAGGGAAAGCTTGTGTATTTCCTTGGTTTACGAGATATTTCATTGACAAATACTTTCTATGAATAGGAAAGTCACGAAAACACGATTGCAATGTTTAGTCTGTCATGATTTGACTGGAGTTGTACCGATAAGAAAATCACTTCGTTGTATTCGCATTAAAACGCTTTAATCTCAGTGTCCAATGTCCAGTGTTATGTTTAAAGTCACTTTCTTCTACTAAACCTTCATACATAGGCTGTAGCTGCATTCCATTCTGCGTCCTTCACTTCCGTCTCAACCCAGTGTAATTCCATTAAACGTGAACACCGTAACACGATCTGTGAAAAATCGGGCAAAGCAAAACGAAGCCAAGCTTTGAGAATACACGTCTGTGTTGATTTTACTTGTAACGATGTTTATGATTTGAGATGCTGCTTAACTCTGCAGCAGAAGCCCGGGGCCTGACTGGTGGTACGCTTTCAAGTAACACAACCCCTGTCGTTATCGGCCGTCACATACCTCGTTGCGAACCCTGTAGAACAACCATCAAACAAGAAACCATTGTTCGAAATTGTATCGAGGGTATGGCCGGGCAATTTAAATATCAAATTCATAGTTATCGTTATTGTTTAACGCCGCACGCGACAATATTCCAGCTATATGACGGCAGTCTGTAAATAACTGGACCACACGTTCCAGTGATCAACAGCATGAGCATATATTTACACAAAGCCAGCTAGCTGTTAGTCGCCACGTACGACAAGCATGGTTTGCTGAAGACTAATTCTAACCCGGACCTTCACCTGACACCGCCTCCGTGGTGTAGTGGTTAGAGCGTCCGCCCGGAGAGCGGAATGTCGCGGGTTCGATCCCCGACCGCGTCATACCAAAAGACGTTAAAATATTGTACTTGTTGGTCCCTGCCTGGCGCTCGGCATTAATGGGTACAACAAGGACTGGTCGGCTCGGAGTCAGTATAATGTGTCTGAGTGGGGTATTCATGCTTCACTGCGGTATGGTATCTCAGTGGGCTAGCACTATAAAACCAGCTTAAGTCTGGGCTAGTACAAGCAGCCGCACATACACATACACACGCATGCACGTCGTCATATGAGCGAAATATTCTCAAGCACGACGTAAAACCCAATTTCACCTCACCTCACCTTCACCTGACACAAAATAACCACACGTTTCACTGAGGTGGGAGTTGTAACCATGGAGACTGGAAGGAATCTGGACCTAAATCTATCTCGTCTCTGATTTCACACCACAAAGAGCACAGACCCGCGGTCTTTTCGCGTAGAAACGAATGAATATAAAAAGAGGCTTGCACATAAACACCAGAAGCAAATAATGAGTTCTTGGTCCCTATACGGAAGTGAATCTACAAGCTGAAGAAACAATACATGTGAACTTTGATGGTGGATAGAAATTAAATGGTTCTTTGATGCGATGTATCTGTACTTGATATAGGTGTAATACCCCTGAAATTGGCACTGGTTTGGTGACGTTTAAAGCTTAGTAACATTTTGATACCGTGTAATAATTTGGTCAAATCAAAATTTCAAACGTATGTATTATCTCTTTTCTCGGCCGTTAAGATTCGATAAGAGACAACTTTCAAGTGTAAAAAAGTCGTTACTTGTTCTGTTAGTGTCACAAACTCACCCAGATTGTACACATAGGTTTGAAACAAGGCAAAATCACACCAAATAATAGAAATATTGTCCATTTTCTTCCCTTGGTTTAATTTCGGCAATATGAACTGAAACATTGTATCTCGGAATCAACATTGTGCTAATTCGTGAGTGCACAACTGGGCGTGGATGACATTACTAATTTGTGTAAACAGCTCGCACCATCACTTATTAATATTAGTAATTCATAAACACGTTAGTATAATGTAGTCAGGTTGTAACACTCGACACTGCTTTCCTGTGAATAGGGAGAGGGCTTTGTCGCTTTTAGTACTTTGTCACCCACACCTGAGTGTTATCTGTCGCGATGTCTGTTAGTTCCAGAGGGGTATACGTACACGGGTGGATTGGTGGAAGTGTGGATAGTACTTCGTCACTCACAACTCGTGTTATCTGTCGCGATGTCTGTTAGTTTCAGAGGGGTACACGGGTGGAAGTGTGGATAGTACTTCGTCACCCACAACTGGGTGTTATCTGTCGCGATGCTTGGTGGTTTCAGAGGGGTACACGGGTGGATTGGTGGAAGTGTGGATAGTACTTCGTCACCCACAACTGGGTGTTATCTGTCGCGATGTCTGTGAGTTTCAGAGGGGTACACGGGTGGAAGTGTGGATAGTACTTCGTCACCCACAACTGGGTGTTATCTGTCGCGATGTCCGTGAGTTTCAGAGGGGTACACGGGTGGAAGTGTGGATAGTGCGTACTATTCTTCTTCATATTGTCATAGTATTGTCGTTGGCGTTTGATACTTTTACTCTCAACTTATATTTGTCTGCCATGACGTCATCACTGTCATATTTGCAGGCACGTGTTGTACCAGTAGCCCCGCCCTGATGACGTCACTATGACTCGTCTGAAGGCTGCGTTTCGTATGTATGACTTGCATTTTTCTATATTCTATAAAAGGGAGAAAATTCCAAATGACAATTTCAACACTGTTTCAAACACACAAATATTAGCTTTTGACCCCACACGTACATGTACACTGATGTCTAAAGTGGGGTATCCGTAATGTAGCACCATACAACTCTCATTAGTCCGAACAAGTACAAGTAAACACACACATAGACACACACAGAGAGACACACACACACGCACACACACAAACAGACACAAACAGACACAAAAAACAGATATACACATATACGCAGAAACACAGAGACACACATACACACAGAGAGACAAAGCGACACACACATACAGAGGTACACATACACACATAGACACACACATATACACACAGATACAAACACACACAGAGAGACACAAAGAGGCACACACATACACACAGAGACACACATACACATATACACAGAGAGACACACATATAGACAGACAAACACATACACAGAGAGAGACACACAGAGAAACACAAATACACACAGAGACACACATACACAAATACACACAGAGAGATCCAGAGACACACACACAGAGAGACACACATATACACAGAGACACACACATATACAGAGAAATACATACACACACAGAGACACACATATACAAACAGATACAAATGCACACAGAGACACACATACACACAGAGAGAAAAAAAAACCCACACATACACACAGACACACATACACAGAGACACACATACACAGAGACACATACATAGACACACAGAGACACACATATACACAGAGAGACACACATAGACAGACATATACACAGAGACCAACACATACACACAGAGACCCGCAAACACACGGAGACACAAATACACACAGAGACACAGACACAAACATATACACAGAGAGACACATACACACACAGATACACACATACACACAGAGACACACATAGACACAGAGAGAAACACACACAGAGACATATACATATACACAGAGCGACACACAGAGAGACACACACATATACACAGAGACACACGCACAGAGACACAAACAGACACACACATATACAAAGAGAAAGAGACACACACAGACACGCATATACACAGAGAGAGATACACATAGAAACACATATGTACACAGAGAGACACGCACATATACAAAGAGTGAGATGCACACAGACACACACACAGACACACACACGCATATACACAGATGGAGAAACACAGAGAGAGACACACATATACACAGAGAGAAACACACACAGAGACACACACAAACACACACATATACAAAGAGAGAGAGAGACACACAGACAGACACACAGAGACACGCATATACAGAGAGATACACACAGACACACACATACACAGAGAGACACACACATATACAAAAAGTGAAACACACATAGACACACACAGACACACGCATATACACAGAGGGAGAAACACACAGAGACACACACATATATTCACAGAGAGAGACACACACAGGGACACAAACACACAGACACAGACACAGATATACACAGAGAGTCACACACACATGCACATAGAGACACACGCATATACACAGAGAAACACACGCAGACTTACGCTTATACACAGGGGGAAACACAGGCAGAGACACATACACAGACATACGCATATACACAGAGAGACACACACAGACACACGACATACACACAGAGACACAGACATACACACAGAGAACACACACGCACATACACACAGAGACACACAAACAGAGAGACACACAAATACAAATACACAGAGAGAAACACACACGCATATACACAGGACACACAGAGACACACATACACAGAGAGACACACATATACAGACACGCAGAGAAACACACACGCATATACACAGGACACACAGGGAGACACATACACAGAGAGACACACACAGAGACACACGCATATATAGACAGCGATACGCTCACGCAGAGACACACACACACACATACAGAGAGACACACGAATATACACAGAGAGACACATGCACATATACACAAACACAAAGGGAGACACAAAGAGACACACACATAGAGACACACATACACACATATACACAGAGGGACACACATATATGCACAGAGAGACACACACATAGACACAGAGATATAGAGGTGAGGTGAGGTGCGTGTGTACGTGTATGTGCGGCTTCTTGTACTAGCCCAGACTTAAGCTGGTTTTATAGTGCTAGCCCACTGAGATACCATACCGTAGTGAAGCATGAAATACCCCACTCAGACACATTATACTGACTCCGAGCCAACCAGTCCGTGTTGTACCCATTAATGCCGAGCGCCAGGCGGGGGCCAACAAGTACCATATTTTAACGTATTTTGGTATGACGCGGTCGGGGATCGAACCCGCGACCTTCCGCTCTCCGGGTGGACGCTCTAACCACTACACCACGGAGGCGGTCTGATACAAGAGGCAACCTACAGGATAAGGTGGTCAGAGATATAGAGACACACACATATACACAGGGACACAAATACACACAGAGAGACACAAATAGACACACACATACAAGCAGAGACACACATATACACAGAGAGACACACATATAGACACAGAGAGACACACAGAGAGACACACAGAGATGCACATATAGACACACACATATACACAGAGACACACATGCACATATAGACACACACATAGACACAGAGAGAGACACACACATACACACATAGAGACACGCATATACACAGAGAGACACGCATATACACAGAGAGAGACGCACGTAGAGACACACATATACACACACAGAGAGACACACACATATACACACAGAGACACACACACATATACAGAGAGACACACACGCAGAGACACACACAGAGGCATACGCATATACACAGAGAGAACACACAGAGACACACGCAGACACAGAGAGAGACACATACACAGAGAGAGACATACATACACACATACAGACACATACACACAGAAAGACACACATACTCAGAGAGAGACATACATACACACATAGACCCACACTTACACACAGAGAGACACACATGCACAGAGAGAGACATACACACGCACATAGACACACACATACACACAGAGAGACGCACATAGAAAGAGAGACACATACACAGACAGAGACATACATACACAGAGAGAGACACACATAGACACACACCAATAGGGACACACATACACAGACAGAGACACACACATACACAGAGAGATACACACATACAGAGAGAGACACACACAGACACACGCATATACAAAGAGAGACACACAGAGACACGCACATACACAGAGAGACGCACATACAGAGAGAGAGAGACACACCCATATATACAGAGACATACACACAGAGAGACACACATACAGAGAGAGAGAGAGAGACACATACAGAGAGAGAGAGAGAGAGAGAGAGAGAGAGAGAGAGAGAGAGAGAGAGAGAGAGAGAGAGAGAGACATACACACACGCTCAGATAAACAAACAACCCATATACACATACACACACACACATAAACACACACATACAAAAATATAGTACATACACACATACAAACACACAGGTACAAAGAAATATCGACACACACACATATATGTACACTCATAGACGCCCACCCATACAAACACACCGACACGGACACACAAACACACAGACGGACACACGAAACTGTATGAATGAAATTGTTTAAAACACGAACTTAATCTGGTTTCCACTCACCTGTTCACATGTTCCTGTATTGTTCATTTACACCTATAATTACATACACCTGTGTACTTAAACTCACTCGTGTATTCACGATGATTTTTGGGTACCCGTCATACTGTACGCGGTCTATATTTTTAGGGTGCAATCAATATCTTATCTATTTTTAACTATTTCCAGTGGTGCTGCTTGGTTTCTTCTGCGCTGTTGGCCTGCTCCTCATCGGGGACACAAGACGAACCAAAGGTCGACACGTGAACAAGCTGAGTATGTACATTACTGAAATATGAACTACCGGGCGAAAAACCCATTCACTTGAAAATTGATCACATGAAGAGAAATACAAGACAAGCAAACGTAGGCTGAAACAGTCAGTGAACACTGCAAAATGATGGTCCAAACCGCACATATGTAAGCTGAATCTTATTCAGCGCATTGCTTCATCTTGCTTGTTTCCTCTGCTGCCGTCCTACCACATGCTTGTATACTTTTTTTGCCAGGTTGTGTTTGTTTAGGACGCCCGCCGAATATTTTTTTTAAAACAATATCATTTCACCGGTACATTCGAGGGTACATTCCGTGTAACGCGTGTTGTATTTTAAAGAAATTTGAATTATGCGGACTTTTCACTATTTCCTTCTTAGGGAAAGCACTTTGTCTTAAAGTCTAGTCATACATTACTTTGTTCTTTTAGGACTCAAGAGTCGGCCTGGTTCAACCTTCATTCGTGAAACAGAGAAGCTAGACGGTAAATATATAGATATACCTTGTTGCGATAAGGCATTTCTCATGATCATTTCACTGGGGGGTACAGGTTAGAATTGGTCTTGGTAACCCAACGGGATCGGGTGGTCAGGCTCGCTAACTTGGTTGACACATGGCATCGTTTCCCAATTCATAGATCGATGCTCGTGTTGTTGATCACTGGATTGTCTGGTCCAGACTCGATTATTTACAGACCACAGCCATAAAGAGGGAATATTGTTGAGTGTGGCGTAAAACTAAGCTCACTCACTAATTCTATATGGTAATCCTAGTTTATCACTGATTATAATCGCTGTTTTGTCAGCACAATATCAATGCTCATGGGTTTTATCGAAGGGGTCAGCGTCTGAGAACTGGTTTAATGATTGATTATAGATTTGATCTAAACACCTCTTCTTCAATTTTATGAAGGGGTGTACAGAAATTCATTTTGTCTATTTATAAGTACACAGGTGATTACATTACTGTGCATGTAATTTACAGTTGAGGTTATAGTTCTTTTGACGAAATGGGGAAATAGGAAAACAGAATGAAATGAACGGAAAACAATTTGCGTTTTTATCAAGATCAGAGTTGCTGTAAACACCACATTGTTTATATGTCATAATTCCGGTACTTCAACTGAAAGTCATACTGAATAACCTGCAGTGGCAGAAGAAAGGAATGCAGTTGAAACGTCGTTTGACAAAGAACTTACGAAACGTCTCAAAGCTGATTTGTGGTAAAAAGGATATTCACTGACGTAATATCGCTGATGATATCCCGCATCAAACACCATCGAACAACCAGTATGGGAGCAGTATTTATTATCCGAATGATACTATTGGTTTAACGAAAGTTGACCGCGTATTGTGATTCTGTTTCCTCGTTTGATCCGTTTCGCATTTGATTTTATATTTATATTGTGTAAATGTTGTACATTCAATCTAATTGAAAATGAGTTACACTTTTTGCTGGTGTCCTTACTTCACTGATTTAAAGACAAAATATCTACCGCAATATTACCATGCATATCCTACTACGTGTAAATTTAACTTGTTAATGAACTCTAATAATACAACTTATAATCGCAAACTTGGTATGTATATCCACCATGCTTTTGTACATAGAAACAACGCCTGCAAACATTGTGATTGTATGCCAGTATGGCTAGCTGACTTTGTCCTATAGGCCTGTGGCCTATTCAGTACTTGAATAAAAGAGATAGATTGTATATGATTTCAGACATGCAGCTTGTGGCGAACAGTAACATGCAGGACGAGGTGAAACAGCTAGCTGACCTTTTTTCGGGAAAAAATAGCAAGTAAGATGTTCGGTTTTGTTAATTGTCATCTTTACATTTAAACTGTAAGAAATGTGACAATTAGAGCGATACACAATCGATTGTATGAATGAGAACGTATAATGGGCTAAAGTTGATACATTACCATCAAACAGTGACAGTCACAAACAAACTCATCGGCAAGTCAAATGTTCACGGCAAAGGGTACACGTCAGTATTGGGCATTCCATCGTTTTGTCAATGATACTTCTGCCTTCTGGCCGTTAAACATTTTGAAATCTTTACTAAGTCCTTTGACGTAATAACCATGATGAAGCAGCATTTGAGTAATAATCGTATAGTGCTCTTTGAAAAATATGCAGAAGAGCACTCTCGGCTGTTCATTAAAAGCTGTGAGTGAGTTTATTTTATGCCGCTTTTAGCAATATTCCAGCAATATCACGGCGAAATGGGCTTCGCACATTGTACCGATGTGGTGAATCGAACCCGGGTCTTCGCCGTGACGAGCGGACACTTTAACCACGAGGTTACCCCACCGCCCCTAAATGCTGTGAAATGACGACACCTAAGGCTGGAATATTGCTCGAGACGGCGATGACAACTGGAAAGTTGAAGTCATCCTTCTTGTAATAGTCTTATGGAGATTTACCGTTGGGCTACCATGCTCGAAGTATCCCGTGCACGGTGTTGACAAACGAAGGACAATAGTCAGGGCATAACCAGCGATCATTGGCTAAATTTCAGATTGTGGCGTCTGAAATGACTGGGCTGTGTTCTGTATTCAGATGTACTGATCTTGTCTTAACATAATGTTAAACGAAACTCCTCAGTATTCTCAGTACACTCCATGTGTTTAGATACCCTCCATACATGCTTTTTCCCCTTTGGCGCACAACACATTTACCTCACACAGTTACATGTGTAATTACTGATGTGATTGAGTTAAATAATTAAATTATTGTGGTTGCCTGACATATAAAAGAGTCGAAATTATTTCCCATTGTTTGCTCACAGAGTGATGGCAGTCTTGCAACAGTTTATGTATCAACTTCAGTAGAAAATATGTAGAACTTCTAAAAACAATCCAAAACTACAACAGCTGAGACCAAACTTTTCAAATGACATTTTACAGGTTCACTGTTCCTACCGTTTCAGCGCTGAAGCAGAAAATGATTTGGTCCGAGCTGCCTCCCTCTCCACGGTGTACAGGCAAGGAAAAGAAAGCATGTAAGTCATTCAACACTTATACGATCATATACACGTTATTAGGAAAGTCTCCATCAGCAGTACGTGTTATTATAGGGAAGCAACAACGGACATATAGAACCAGCCACCGATAATGGTGTCCCTATATCGCCTCACATCACGGTTGCTATCATGGGTAAAAGAGTATATGGAGCCCATAGAGTTCTATTACTAGTAATTAATATACCAGGTAATAAACTAGGATTTCCACACACAGTTAGTGAGTGAGTGAGTTTACCTTTACGCCGCACTCAGCAATATTCAAGCTATATGGCGGCAGTCAGTCTGCCACTGCAGGTTATTCAGTATGACTTTCAGTTGAAGTACCGGAATTGTGATATATAAACAATGTATATAAAAACGCAAATTGTTTTCCGTTCATTTTCATTCCGTTTTCCTATTTCCCCATTTTATTAAAAGAACTATAACCTCAACTGTAAATTACATGCACAGTAATGTAATCACCTGTGTACTTATAAATAGACAAAATGAATTTCTGTACACCCCTTCGTAAAATTGAATAAGAGGTGTTTAGACCAAATCTATAATCAATCATTAAACCAGTTCTCAGACGCTGACCCCTTCGATAAAACCCATGAGCATTGATATTGTGCTGACAAAACAGCGATTATAATCAGTGATAAACTAGGATTACCATATAAAATTAGTAAGTGAGTTTAGTTTTACGCCGCACTCAGCAATATTCCCGCTTTATGGCTGTGGTCTGTAAATCATCGAGTCTGGACGAGATAATCTAGTGATCAACAACACGAGCATCGATCTATGAATTGGGATATGTTGCCATGTGTCAACCAAGTTAGCAAGCCTGACCACCCGATCCCGTTAGTCTTCTTTTACGCCAATCATGGTTTACTAAAGATCAATTTTAACCCGGATCTTCACGAGTAGGTCAGTTTAGACTTACATGTTGTTCATAATATCAAACACCTGTTTGCCTGACCCTTAGTAAATGATTCATAGTCCCTAGGAGGAGCCAGACAAATAAACATAAATTTTGGTGCATACCTATTTACTGATTCTTCTTACTTCTCTTGAACACTCAGTGAATATATGAAAACATTTCAGTGAACCTGTGTAATGATACAGCTGCCTGCAAACATCCACTTCCGGCGGCTGACAGCCAAGAAAACATCTGCAATGTTCTTACGCCCGTGACCAAACTCAAAGAGGGGGCACTGGAGAGAATAAAGGAAGTTTTCAACATACAGGAGAGGAGGAAATATGCCTTTGTGACGGCAGCGTCAGCGGATCACTTTGATGAATCCCAGGAGATGATCATGACTCTGGATAAATACATCTTCCCTTATCTGAGCAACTACTCGTTCTATTATTACGACATGGGTCTGAACAAAAGTCAGGTAAAACTGGTAAGCAACTTTTGCATTACAGACTCAACGACAGAAAAATACTAAGCAAGTTTAAAGGGCGCTGTCAGAATTAGCAGTGATATTTGGAGAATATCAGAGTATTAATAATAGTAAATTTTTGTTGCAGTTGTGGTATTCACAGAAGCGCATATAGTGCACGTAGCTGTAGTAATAGCAGCGCTGCAAAAAGTACTTATTAGTAGCAAGTGCTTGGAATATTATAATACACTAGGTAGTGAAAACAGTTGCAACAGGAGTAGGAGTAGGTGTAGTATTTGTAGTAGTAGTAGTGGTAGTAGTAGCAGCAACAGCTGTAGGAGGAGTAGTAGTGGTAGTAGTAGCACCAGTAGTAGGAGTGGTAGTAATGGTAGCGGTAGCAGTAGCGAGTAGAAGTAGGAGTTGGATTAATAGAGGTTGTAATGGCTCCGTCAGTAACGACTTTGCGTACCCCTACCTTGCAAATATCTGTCAAAACAATTTTGATGTAAGTGAGCTGGGCTCATAATCCTCGCCATTAGATTTCTTTATTTGAATGAAAAAGGTGCACAAAATGAAATGTCGCACAGTTCTGGCGGCGGTGTTGTTTCAACTGGTCTTGTGTCGCCATTTGACTTCATGAACTTCATGAGACTGTTTATGTCATAGTCAGTCTTTCGCCAAGTGTTTTGATTCCGATTGTGTTGGATGTAACTGTCAATGTTTGAGCAATCATAGTTGAAAGAACTTTTATCATTTACCTCCTTAAAGGAGTTATCTTTCATCAATTTTCCAAAATATCCTCCGGTGGGGAAAGCTGATTATTGTTAGTGAGAAGGGCCATTGATACAGTTTCAGGAACCACTGTAAGTCTATGTCTGTGTACTTGCCTTATTTCGCCATCGAAAGTTTTGACATTGAAAACAGAATGTTCCGATAGGTTTAACCATGGAAGTGACTCTCCCTCGAACTGTTCCATCGATTTTGACGGAGTCATTAACACGAACGGGAGTCGCCATTTTTTGCCAAGACATCGCCAACAGCAAAACACAGGAGACGTACTTTTATTTATTTGCAAAAACTGTAAATTAGTTACAATTTGTTATTGATACACATACTCATGTTCTTGTAGTTTTAATATGTAACTGTTTTTGTGTGTATTTGTAATATTTTCAAGTAATCACGATCATATGAGATGTCTTGTAATTGACGTAGTAAAAGTTGTAGAATGAATGAGTTCACGTGTTTGTTATGAATGAGAAAGTAGTTCCGTCACAACGTGACCTAATTGAGAGGTCATCGGTTATCCAATCAAATCGTTAGAATCTCAGGTCAAGTCATTACGACACAGGTCAACGCGATACGACACTCGTGTTACGTACGATATTGGTATGCAACTACCCATACGTTGACCACGTGGGTAATAAAGAGGCAGACACCGATAATGGTGTCCCTATATCGCATCGCATATCACACCCAGGTGTGAGGCGTGCAATGTTGCATTCATAGCAGCTTAGTAAATGGTTGCTATCATGAGTGAAAGAGTATATGGAGCCCCTAGCATTATATTACTGGCAACTGACATTAATATACAAAGTAATAAACTAGGATTTCCATACACAATTAGTGAGTGAGTGAGTTTAGTGTTACGCCGCATCCAGCAATATTCAAGCTATATGGCGGCGGTCTGTAAATAATCGAGTCTGGACCAGAGAATCCAGTGATCAACAATATGAGCATCGATCTACGAGGTTGGGATACGATGACCTGCAAATCAAGTCAACGAGCCTGACGAAGCCCCCGACCCTTTAGTCGCTTCTTTAACAATCATGGGTTACTGAAGATTAATTCTAACCCGGATCTTCCCGAGTAGGTCAGTCTAGACTTACATGTTGTTCATAATATCAAATATTTGTTTCCCTGACCCTAAGTCAATGATTCATAGACCCTATGAGGGGTCAGACAATTAAACTTCGATTTTAGTGCATACCTAAGTACTTCTTCTTACTTCTCTTGCAACATTAAGTGAATATTTGAAAACGTTCCAGTGGACCTGTGCAATGATACAGCTGCCTGCAAACACCCACTTCCGGCGGCTGACAGCCAAGAAAACATCCGCAATATTCTTACGCCCGTGACCAAACTCAAAGAGGGGGCACTGGAGAGGATAAAGGGAGTTTTCAACATACAGGAGAGGAGGAAATATGCCTTTGTGACGGCAGCATCAGCGGATCACTTTGATGAATCCCAGGAGATGATCATGACTCTGGATAAATACATCTTCCCTTATCTGAGCAACTACTCGTTCTATTATTACGACATGGGCCTGAACAAGAGTCAGGTGAAACTGGTAAGCAACTATTGCATTACAGACTCAACGACAGAAAAATACTGAATAAGTTAAAAGGGCGCTGTCAGAATCAGCAGTAATATTTGGAGAATATCAGAGTATTAATAATAGTTGCAGTTGTGGTATCCACAGAGGCGCATATAACGCATGTGGCTGTAGTAATAGCAGCGCTGTAAATAGTACTTATTAGTAACAAGTGCTTGGAATAGTATAATAGACTAGATAGTTGCAACAGCAGCAGTAGTAGTAGTGGTAGTAGTAGTAGTAGCAGCAGCAGTAGTAGGAGTAGTAGTGGTGGTAGCAGTAGCAGAAGCAGCTGTAGGAGTAGTAGTAGTAGTAGTGTGGGTGTAGTAGTAGTAGTAGTAGTAGCAGCAGCAGCAAGCAAGGTAGTAGCAGTAGTAGTAGTAGTGGTAGCAGCAGCAGCTGTAGAGCCGCAGGAGTAGTGGTAGTAGTAGCAGCAGCAGCTGTAGGGAGTGAGTGGTAGTAGCAGCAGCAGTAGCAGGAGTAGTAGTAGTGGTAGTAGTAGCAGCAGCTGTAGGAGTAGTAGTAGTGGGAGTAGTAGCAGCAGCAGTAGTAGCAGTAGTGGTAGTAGTAGCAGCAGCTGTAGCAGTAGTAGCAGCAGCAGTAAAAGGAGTAGTAGTGGTAGTAGTAGCAGCAGCAGCAGGAGTAGTAGTAGGAGTTGTGAGAGTAGTGGTAGTAGCAGCAGCAGCTGTAGTAGGAGTAGTAGTAGTGGGAGAAGTGTCAGCAGCAGCAGTAGTAGGAGTTGTAGGAGTGGGAGTAGTAGTAGCGAGTAGAAGTAGAAGGTGGGGGAATAGAGGTTGTATTGGCTGTGGTTGATAAACATCCATCGGTTTCACAGAAACTCCGGCTAATTGACTTTGATGTTTATGTTCAATATGTTGCAGCTACAGCAATATGGAAGAGCTGAAATAAAACGTTACCCATTCGATTTGCTGCCTGATCGGTTTTCCTACTTGAGGTGTTATACATGGAAGCCAATTGTAATACAGGTACGTTTATAGACATGGCTCTCTCAGCAACTCACTGGGATATTCCACTTGAATATTACACTTACAGGAAAGTCTTGTGATTCAGTAGAAGATTATGAATAGGTATGTAACAGCTCTGTCCCGAGATCCAGTCCAAAATGTCTGGACATGAATATCATTTTGGCAAACACTGTGTACGTACACTGACACGCAGCAAACGCACACGCACATGCACATAGCCTATATCTAAAACTACATTAATGCGGCCCAAAGTGAGGTTAAACAACAAACATACAAACAAAATCTTTTATATAAAAACTATTTCCTTGTTCGTACCCAAACCTTTTGACACGTTTGGCAGCTTTGCAGGAGAACTTGCAGAACTCGCAGAAACTTGTTCTTCATTTTTGTGCATTCATCAGCATTAATCTTGTACACTCCTCGTCACTATATTGCTGAAATATTGCCGAGGTGACGTTAAATTCTAACTCACTCACTCACTCTTGTACACTCCTTTCCAGGCTCATTTTGACAATGCTGAGTACACAATTTGGTTGGACGCATCTGGGCGGTTCGACAAAGGCAACCTACTTGAAATGTTCGACTTGCTGAAAGAAACAGGCGTGCTTTTGTCTCCATGGCCGAAATATCCTTTCGCCCAACATTGTTCAAAGTATATGTTTTCCTACTTCAACACTGAACCATGTCACTTTTCAGTTTATCACGAATCTGAAGCCAATGTTATTATGTTACACAACCAGCCATTCACACGACGACTTGTAATGGATCCATGGGTGTCATGCGCAGTGGACCCGAACTGTATGTGCCATCCAGGTGCAACAAAACTGTATTTTTGTTCATTCGGCAAAAGGAGGTATGGGAAATGTCATCGGTATGACCAGTCTGCCCTCAATTTGATTCTTTTACAGCTGTTGAGAAGGAATATACATTCTATACAGTATGTCAAAAAGAAATATGCACATGTCTCGAGGAAAATAGGACAGTTGTATCTCAAAGATATGTTCAATAAAATATCATGATGTCACTGTGTCTGTACTTCAATACTTTATCCAGTGGATATTATTATATTAAATTTTGTGAGTCTTTGTGTGACACTCAACAATAACTCATTATGGACCAGACAAGCCAGTGACTGACACAAGCAATTAGTAATGTTATTTGTTTGCTTGTTTAACGTTGCACTTAGCAATACGCACAGCTATATGGTGGTGGTCTGTTTATAATCGAGTCTTGACCAGACAATCCAGGGCTTAACAGCATGAGCATCAATCTACATAATTGGGACATGATGGCATGTGTCAATTAAGTCAATTTCATGATGATAATTGCTCATTTAAAAAGAAATCACGATTTTGATACAAAACACGATTTTAATACAAAACCATGTCTGTACATGTATGTCCCTGGAATGTTTAACGTTGAAATATTTGTGAATGTGAACATTTAAAATGTCATTTTGCGTGTCTTATGCGATTCAAGGTCGAATGCCCAGTGTAACCTCCATGTGACTGTATGACAGTCAGCACTCTCCTTCATACCACCTGTCAGCCTTCTGATCCTCTAAAGCGGCAGTCTGCGCCATTCTTCGTGTATATCAGCTTCCAATTGGGCCAGGTTTTGTACAGGAGGATCTCTTTGCTGCACACGACGACCAAAGGTACCAAAGGGTTAACATCGGGGCTTATTCAATCGTGAGATGTGTCAGGGGTGCTTAACTAAGTTCTTTGTGTATACATTAGAAGTTAGACAAGCACATGTCGCCATAGTTGATATGAATAACTAAGATTATACTGATCAAACCACTCTTGTTCCATTCCCATTGGCTAGGACCGAATCGATGCAAGACGTTCCCACAAAAGAACCAAACAACAGACTTGACCCATGGCTCATTGTTACTAAATATGGTGACCACAGATGAAGTTACATCTCTGTCTTCAGAGGTTCAGGAAAACTTATCAGTACTGAAAGAAATAATCTATAGTATCCTGAGAAAATAATGTTTGCAATTCTCGACTTCCTCATTGATAACACCTGTGATATTTTGATGCCGGACAATTATGTATTTGAAGGGCGTACATTAAGTTCCCCTTCTTACTGCTCTGTTCATTTTGTTAGTTTTTCCTACAAATCAATAAGCATGTCTACAAGGGAATCATTCAGACAACTCCCCACAAAACTGTATTATATAACAAGAGAGTTGACTTCAATTTTCCTTTGTCGAGCAATATTCCAGCACTTACAGCCTTTGGAGTCATCATTCCCAATCTTCTAAGGTACAACGGAGCATGCTCTTTCTCCAAAGATCTGAAAGAGCATCACTGTTGTCTGAGCAGGATCACAATATATGAGGCCAATTCAGTTCCCCTTTTGAGTTGTAGCATATCTTCTCATTTATTATATGTAGGGGATTAATGACTTCCCTGCGCATGTGACGGGGTCCACCAATGGGACAAATGCGATAGACTATTTGAGAACACCTTGTACTATCACCATTTGATAGAAATTGAATAACACCTAACACAACTTCATTTCATTTTTTAAAATGCGCTACCCTTAGCTAGTTTAAATATTTGTCTTTAAAAAAGGTTCTGTACACATACATTATAAGCCTATGGAACAATACTGATGTTATGACCTGTTATACTTGCAAATAATACTGTAATGAAGAAATATGCATTTTACAAAACTTTGTAATTAAAATGGAGTTGTCTGTAAGTGCAGAACGTGCTTTGTGCTTGAAATAATGCCGACGCAGCGTACAATTTAACTCGCTCATTTTTTAACAGTGCTCATCAATCGTGAAAATAATCCATGCTAGCAAATTGACAGGGTGACCTTTTTTCACTTTTTTGTCACGTTGTGAGGTTGTGAGGAGAGTGAGATTGGATTTTGTAAGTTAACCAAGCACAGAAGAATGGCCACTTAACCCATCCTTCTTTCATTTGAAGCGTGAAGCGTGATGATAATCTCTTGTCATGGGGCAATACATCAACGTTTTTAATTAGAGTTTGATAAGAAAACGTGGAAAGAAGACAGTTGGATGTGTTGTGGAAAGGAGTTCTAGAGCAGTGGTGTCACTAGTCAACGGCAGTGTTCACTCCCTCTATGGAAGGATATGCCCTGAAGATCTGGTTTACAGCTGTCATGCACTAAATGCAAGTAAATTGCTGGCTTTGAGGACGCCCTTTCTCGAATTCTGGCAACGAGACGAGGCCGATTTCAGATCTGCTTCTGTGATTTTATTTCCGATTTCTCTACAGCTTGGATACCTGCTTCAACACTTTCATGGATTAAAGAACTTCGATTAAATGGATGCAGAACTACAATTGGATGGTTTTTTGAGTACCAGGTTTATTTTGTTGTGGAATTCTTTAAAACAGAACAAGAAATAAACACAAATACATTTCAAGCACTCATAGTCAATATCATGAATAATACAACCATCGTTAATATAATAAGTACATAATGAAGTCAACCGTCACACTGATCCCATCGGAAAAGTAAGTATGTAGAGAAGCCGTGCTTTATTTCTTTGTTGCATCACAGGCCAACCATTCAGGAGTTTGTGAGCCATGGAATATACTGGGTCTGAAAAAAGCCATCTCGAAGCAGGGATGATGTGTCAATATGCAGTATTTTGAACGAAAATGAGGGATATTATTATAAAACGTTGCACAATTTACCATACATAACAAACCTATTCACCAACGTATACATCGACTATAGAATAGAAGCGACAAAACCATTTCCACATCCATAAAAGACCTCTCCTCAAACAGAGTCGATTGTACAGTTATGATTATATCATGAGTAAATATTTATTTCAGCAGTATTACAGCTGTACGATGCTGTTTGTAAACAAGTCAAGTCTGGACCAGGTAATCTTGTGGTTGTCACCATGCGTGTAAATACCATGGTGTAAATTGTGAAACCCGATCAAATATGTAAACAAACCATAAAGAAACATAACCACTTCCACGTACACAGGAAATCCAGGAGCAGAGTGTATTGGACGACTTTGACTGCATACCCCGAGTACGTGTATCTCAGTCATCGTCAAATAATGATGATATCAGGGGCTCGCAATGAAGGAGTGTGTCCTGCCCCACAGATGACATCCTTCCCAAACACATGCAAAGTCTTGTCAACTATTCACAAATGAAACCCATGATTAGCTGACCGACAAGCTTTTAGAAATTAGAGGCACGAGGGATACGCCCAAACAAATTTTATATCCTACCCTTGACCATACTCTGATGATTTCCACCAGCACCATACACATAAGTAGAATAAAACAAAAGTAAACCAAGCATGATGATGCAGTGTATGTAATACAGAAACAAAAAATTCCCCAAAGCCTGTGTCATACCATGTCGCCATTGAACAGACTTAATGACACCACGTTGACAAACTAGCAGGCTTAATGATACCACACATACTGACGTGTTTATAGACATCACATGGACATGCAGGCTTAGTGATACCATATGGTCACACCAGCAGGCTTATGTACAATACATGAATATACAGGCAGGCTTCATGACATCACCGGCACTTGCAGGCTTAATGGTACCATTTAGACATACCGACAGGCTTAATGATACCGTGTGGACGTAGCGGCAGGCTGCATGACATCACAAGGACATACTGGCTTAATGATTGCACTTGGACCAATGAGGAGAGTTTTCTTCACGTGGTGCCACAGCCTGCTCGACCTACCTACAGGTTGTTCAGGAACTACCTAATTAAGATCATACATAGAATTTGAATGAAAAAGAAAACCTTGGAATATATTGTAGATATCAAAAGTTTAAACTGTCAGCAAGTGCAACTTGCTCTGCCTGCAGTACTGTATCACTTAAATCAACAGATGTTCCCGAGCAAGACAAAGCCTGTGCATGTACTGGCACATTCACATTTACCTGTACATACACACGTCACAGTTATTCTTTGAACATGTTATTGAGATACAACTCTCCTTTTTTCCGCGAAACATGTGCATATTTCTTTTTCACATACTGTATAGAATGTATATTCCTTCTCAACAGCTGTAAAAGAATCAAGTTGAGGGCAGACTGGTCATACCGGTGACATTTCCCATACCTCCTTTTGCCGAATGAACAAAAATACAGTTTTGTTGCACCTGGATGGCACATACAGTTCGGATCCACTGCGCATGACACCCATGGATCCATTACAAGTCGTCGTGTGAATGGCTGGTTGTGTAACATAATAACATTGGCTTCAGATTCATGATAAACTGAAAAGTGACATGGTTCAGTGTTGAAGTAGGAAAACATATACTTTGAGCAATGTTGGGCAAAAGGATATTTTGGCCATGGAGACAAAAGCACGCCTGTTTCTTTCAGCAAGTCGAACATTTCACGTAGGTTGCCTTTGTCGAACCGCCCAGATGCGTCCAACCAAATTGTGTACTCAGCATTGTCAAAATGAGCCTGGAAATACAATTTACCTGTGGGTTATTGAAAAGAGTTGTTGAACAGACAGAATCAGATACACCCGTCGCTATGTGTATATGCACGTGGGTTTCGGTTTTGGTGTATTAAATGTTCAGACATAATTCTTTTGACTTTTCGTTTATTTGGTAAATTGGGAATACGAACTGCCTCAATCAAGCGGTAAGTCAATTAATCCGTTATGTCTGACGTACAGGAGAAAGGCCCTGTAAAGAATGACAAGTCTGTACCCCTAGAATCAAATGGGTCTCAGTCAGAACTTGAGAACATTTTGAAACTGAAACAACAAAAAGCCAATGCAAAGTCAGCCTTCACCAAAGCTAAAAACAAATTGTACAGTCTACTAGAATAACCAAATCAACCATCTCGTAGAGACATAAGAGTTGGTATAAATAAAGTGAAGGAAAGTCAGGTGAAAGCAAAACTCACTCTAGCGTATGCAAAGAATCAGCAGGCTAAAATGTTACTAAAACTAAAAAAGTCATCTCGAAGATGAAACTAATGCTGTAGTTGAACAGACGCAAGCTCACTTAGATAGTAATGCAGATGCAACGTCTACGTCAAGTACAGGACTTTCTAGATGATTTAAATCTCAACAACAATCTGCAGAGTTCACAACAAAGCCACTAATAAACATTGTGTTCAAAGCAAACCATAGAAAAGCACACCTTGTTTTGAAGCAGAGTCGCACATCCATGTAATAGGAACTGATTTATGGAAACAACTGAAATGAGTTTCTATCCCAGTATTTTCTGGTGATGTAAAATCATACGAAAGTGGGAATGCTGCGTTTCTGACATGCTTAGACCAAGCACCAGCTACTGCTGAATATAACGTTATTGCAGCTGAGGCAATATCTGGCTGGTGACACGTTGAAAGTAATTCAAGGTTTGGGACATAGTGCTGTGGCCTATGATACAGCGTTAGAACGTATAGATAGGAAGTATGGTGGTAGGAGGCGTCAAGTAGCGTTACGGTTAGAAGAAGTGACAAATTTGAAGCCTATTCGCCCAGGCTATGCTAGAGTTGTTCAAAGATTTGACGATGTCTTGGACATTGCAGTCGTTAGTCTGAGAGAAGCAGATGAGTAGAAGAGCTAGGTAATGGACATAATTGACGAAAATATATGTTTTTGTCTATATATCCGAATTGTAATGAAATTTCTTCAAATTTCGTAGAATTTCTGGCGCAATCGTATTGGCGTAGTTTGAAGCTAAATTTCGTAGCGACTACGATAAAATCGTAGAGGTTGGCATCTCAGCAAAAGGTCATGATCAGGGTATTTCTGAAAGGGCACATGCGACTGTGCCATGGGATAATGACGAACCTCGCATAGCACTTAGGACAATCCCAGTAGTACTGAAGAACGGAAATAAAAGGATTCGTGTTTACGCATTGTTGGATGATGCAAGTACTAGGTCATATATCAATGCTGACGTGGCTTCAGAATTAGGGATGCAGGGGTCAATAGAGAAGATATCTGTGAGTGTCTTGAATGGTAAGAAAGAAATATATGAGACCAGGCCTGTTACATTTGAGATTGAAGTGAAGATGGTAGAGTGAATGAGGAAATGTCTGCACTGACAACGACTAGGGTTACAGGTGACCTTCAGGTGATTGACTGGCAGAAGTACAGACACAAATGGAGTCACCTAGAAAACATAAGCTTTCCTAAAGTTGGGAGACGTCCAATAATTGATCTCCTTTTAGGTATTGACAATTTGCATCTGCATCAGTCATATGAAGATGTTTGTGGGGACACAGGTGACCCTATGGCAAGGAGAACGCCCCTCGGATGGACATGCATAGGCAATGTAAGCAGTCAGGCTACACTGTACATATACATATCATGCATACAGCAACGACAGTGAATAATGCTCACTGGTGAAATCATTTTGGGAAATTGAAGAGATTAAGACTCCTCTCAAATGCTTTAAACCAGATGATGAGCAACCTCTTCACAAAGCACACGATACCTTAGTTTATGAGAAAAAACTAAAAATCAGATTGGTATCCCATGGAAGGATAGTCCATCACTGCCAAATGACTATGATATGGCATTCCGTAGGTTGCTTAGCACTGAAAAGAAATTATCCAAAGACCAAAACACAGCACTAGCTTATGACAAAATCATCTCGCAATCTGTTGACAAAGGATACATCCGTAAAGTAGATCATGAGGAATCAAGACAAGATGTGTGGTATTTCCTATCTTGCGCCCAGATAAAGCCACAACAAAAGTCCGTATAGTTTTTGATGCTTCAGCAAAGTACCAAGACACATCATTGAATGACGTAATCAGTACAGGTGCGAAGCTTCATCGTGACCTCTTAGATGTGGTGATACGGTTCAGAAGAAAACCGCTAGCCCTCAATTGTGATATTGCAGAGATGTTCCTGCAGCTCAAAATCTCACCAGAAGATAGACCATACCACAGATTTATCTGGAGATCTATGAATACAGATTCATCTTCTGAGGTGTATGAGTTCAGTCGTGTTGTGTTTTGAAACACCTCTTCTCCTTTCTTGGATCAGTATGTAACCCAGGAACATGCTAAGACACATACTGCAGATCTTCCTCTGGCTGCAGAAACTGTCACGAAATCCACCTATATGGATGACAGCATGGACACAGTAGAGAATGCAGATGAAGGCATAGAACTGTAGAAACAGTTAACTCAGTTACAGTGCTTCAATGCATGCTCGAAAATGGTTGTCCAATTCCCTGAAAGTCCTTAATAACTTTCCTGAAGAAGACAGAGCTTCAGAAATTGATCTTTGCAAGGGCCATTTGCCAGCGGTAAAAGCCCGTGGGCTAATGTGGATTGCTGAAAAAGATATTTTCACATTCAAAGCAGGTACATTTATTCAAAAAGAAACCACCAAAAGAGGTTTTCTTAGGCAAATTGCAAGACTGTTTGATCCAAGAAATGTGGAATGATGAATTGCCCCAACAACTGCAACAGAAAATAGAACACCTATTGTTGATGCATCACAGGATGCATACGGAAATTTTGTATACTCCGTTTATACTTACCTCAACGGGAAGAAGTCGAGCAGGACAGTTGCTGCAAAATGTGTAGCTCCGTTGAAAGCCTGTAGCATACCACGCCTTGAACTGTACTTGGTCTCATACTTACCTGTGAAGTAGTCAAGATCCTTCAGATTGAGATTGAAACAGTTACTTTCTGGTCAGACAGCATGAATGTCTTGTGCTGGATTAAAAACAACATTGGTACTTTCAAAACCTTTTGTTGCCTTTTTGTTTTGGTGAAATACACAGTATCACAAACCAAACTCAGTGGCGACACATACCTTCTGCAGAAAATTCCGCAGATCTTCATACAAGAGGTGTGCTGGTTTCTAGTTTCATAAACCACCAGTTATGGTGGTCTAGGCCTACGTTTATGCCAAGAGCGAGATGTGAATGGCCATCAAACAAACATTGTCGCTTGACATGTTAAAGGATGACAAAGAAAAAAAGCAGGCTGCCTGATCTTGAAACGTGGAGACTTGAACATTCAACACTCAAACGTATCAATGCCTGGGTATACAGATTCTTACATAACTGTTCAACTTCAGATGAATACAGAATGAAAGGTGAACTTACAGCAGAAGAAATAGAAGACTCTGAACACAGAATCATTGCCCGTGCACAAAAGGAGTCATTTTCAATAGAATATGCTGCTTTGCTGTCAGGAAAGATGTTGCCTTCAAGTTCTAAACTCCTTACACTTCAGCCATATCTAGATGAAAATGGATTCATGAGAATGAGTGGGCGCCTTGGTGATGCTGAATGTTTGCCTCTTGGAGCAAGATTTCCCATAATTCTGCCTCGCAAAAGTTGGGTAACAAAGGTCATCATAAAACAGTACCACGATGACAGTAAACATGTTCTGGGAACAAACCAGACATTGGCTGCAGTGTCGGGCATACACTAGATTATCTCAGGACGAGAAGTTATACGAGAATGGGAGAAGGAATGTGCTAGATGTCATGGCGCCGTTACCGATAATGAGACTCCAAAAGTCACGCTGTGCATTCAGCCAGACGGGAGTGGATTATGCTGGGCCATTTCTCACAGTCCAAGGCAGAGGAAAGGCACGTCAAGAAACGTTATTTGAGTCGATTCACATTTTTAACTTCACGAGCCGTTCACCTGGAAATGGCATACAGCTTGGACAAAAGTGCATTCCTAAATGCTTTCTACAGAATGTTAAATCGAAGAGGTCTACAATAAGAGGTCATATCGGACAACAGAACTCAAGGAACTTTTTCGCAAGCTGGATCAAGACGCTGTTCAACGTTCCCTGGCTAATCGAGGAATGAAATGGCTCTTCAACCCTCCATATTCGCCACACTTTGGAGGGGTATTCGAGACGGTGATAAAGTCGGCAAAACGTGCCATCTTCGCTATTCTGGTGAATGGTGATGTCACAGACGAGGAACCGGAAACTGCATGTACTGGAGCTGATCAACTCGTCCTCTCACCTATCAGTCGACTTATCCCCAAGATAAGATTCCTCTGACAGCGAATCACTTCCTGCATGGCCAGATCGGAGGGATATTTGCTCGAGAATCCGTAGACACTACAGATTACCATCCACGAAAGCGAATGAAGACGTATTCAAGAACTGATGAGACACATTTGGAAACGTTGGATGAAGCAATGGCTCCGGAAATGGAGAACCACATGCAGAGATCAGTGTGCCAACGATGTTGTTCTTGTGATTTCTCCGGACACTCCACGAGGACAGTGGCCCCTTGGTAGGATTGTGAAGACATACCAAGTACGAGATGGACATGTTCGTGTGGTGGATGTACGAATCTGACAATCAGTAATGACCAGACCAGCAAGCAAGTTTGTCCACTGGACTGGTCAACTGAGAATTGTTATGCAGATGTGTGACTTCGATTTCAGTAACATCGGATCATGTGATACTGGATTCTGTAAAGACATTGGATTATATGGATTCTGCGACACTGGATTCTGTGACATCAAGATTGACACTGTGAGTCTTGAACTTTGATTGTGAACTAACTGTTATGTATTAACTGTTTGACATTGTACAATTTCTGGGATATTCGTGGATTAATGGATTATATTAATTTCAGCTTGTAAGTATGGAAAGTATTTAATTTCATTTAATTGCAGATTCTAGAAGTGTTAGCATTGTTTTAGTATTGATTGAATTGGTTGTAAAGTGTTGACAGGAGTCTGTCAAGGAGAGGGGTATGAACAGAACGAATCAGATGTTTTTCGTTTTCAGCACGCCCGAATACACCCGTTGCTATGCATATATGCACGTGGGTTTTAAAATCTCGTACATTTCGTGGTTAAAGCTGACGAGAGCGTTAGTCAGTCAGCATCGTCAGTATTTATTAGACATATTCCTGAGGGTCACAGACGTTCATAAGGAGCTCCAGCCAGGAGTTACAAATATTACTAATTATATTGCTTCCATTATCGGGAAGACATTCTAATAGAAGCTTAGTTATCATTCACACTTTCGGTGAATGTGCAGTGTGGGGATTTTCCTTGGGTTAATTGTTTTGTTTCGGTTTTGGTGTATCAAATGTTCAGACAATTCTTCTGACTTTTCGTTTATGTTGTAAATGGGGAATATGAACTGCCTCGTTCCCAGTTGTTCTTTATTAATGAGTGATCTACAGGAGAATATAACTGCTATAAATGCTCAGCGGAAAACATCAAGTCTGTACTAGACAGTACTGGGATCGACGTTTTGAGCATCGATCTACCATAAGGTATACGATAGTTTGCAAAGCATATTTGTACTTGAAAAACCTGTGTGCCCCATAAAATTCATCTTACGATTCATGCTACTTGATCCAGCAATATGCGACTTATTTGTGTTCCGTGCATGCATTTTATTAATGCACATATGAGTGCGTGAGTGCGGTGGGGCGGGCGTGAGTGTGCGAATATGTTACAGATTTCTAAGACTATGTGTGTAGATATTTCTGTTAGAGTTTGAAGATATCATAAAATGCTTGATACCTGTATCACAACGGGCTTCCACGTGTAACACCTCAAGTACGAAAACCGATCAGGAAGTAAATTAGAAGGATAGCGTTTTATTTCAGCTCTTCCATACTTCTGTAGCTGCAACACAATTAGAATACAAACATGACATGTTATATAGTCGTGTTATTGTCCCACTATCCTGCTAATCCTTCAATTTACGCTTGACCTCGAAAATGTAGTTGCAGATATCCTTCAGTTGAAAACATTGTATCTTTACAATGAAAACCTATTCATGTAAACGTGGCCAAGTATATAGTGCATACCTTCTTGGCATCACATGATTTATGAGACTTGGCTTTACTTGACAAGGTTAATAGCTTACCAGTTTCACCTACTCCTCCCACTACTACCACTCCAACTACTTCCGCCGCTGCTGCTACTTCTACTACTACTACTAGTTCCACTACTACTGCTACTGCTACCATTACTACTACCACTGCTACTACTCCTACTTCCACTACTACTATTGCTGCTGCTGCTACTACCACTACTACCACTCCAACTACTGCCGCCGCCGCTGCTGCTACTACTACTACTACTAGTTCCACTACTACTGCTACTGCTACCATTACTACTACCACTACTACTACTCCTACTACTACCACTACTACCACTCCAACTACTGCCGCCGCTGCTGCTGCTACTACTACTAATACTACTAGTTCAAATACCACTGCTACTGCTACCATTACTACTACCACTACTACAGCTGCTGCTGCTGCTACTGCCACTACTGCTACTGCCACTACTGCTCCTCCTACTACTACTACTACCACTACTACTACTGCTGCTGCTACTACTACCACTACTCCCACTACTGCTACTCGTACTTCTACTACCACTCTTACTACATCCTCGATAATCTCCTAGGCATACGTTCCGATAAATCTCCACTATACCCAGGATACGTCTACAGTTCGAGCCGATGATTTGATTTCCTCCCTTGGTTGGCTTTTTATCCAATCAGGTGTCTACGCTGGGAAGTTGAGCGTACCAATCACAACTCACTTTCGCTTTTTAAATTATCTAACCAATTAAACTTGGCAACACAATACTAGTAAAATCTAGACATGTTTTATATTCGTATACTTATCCTGCTTTACTCCTTAATGCATTTACTGCTTTCCTTTGACAAGACGAAGCTGTGCGATGGAATCATCGAAGAGAAGTCGTTTCAACTAAGCGAGCCGCCATACTGCCATCGCACTGCGCCCACGTGACCCGGAAAGTGCTGACGTCACGTATCTTCACAATTCTGCTGGATCGTAACATCTGAAGAAAACCATCGTGGGGAGGTAGCGCAGCAATGGGCGGGCAGCGAGACTGAGTAATGCAGGATAAGTATACAAATATAAAAAATATCTAGATTTAACTAGATTATTTACCTTATCCTGCTTTACTCCTTAATGCATCTGTATCCGACGGAAAGGAGGCGAGCAAACCTTCAGATGGGATACTCATGATAAAAAGAAACCTCTCAAACCACAGGAGATAATCCGTCAGCATTCGAGGTCGATGAATCCCAGAGACCATACCTGCCAGGATGAAAGAGAGTGTAAGGAATGAAAGGCATCCAGGTAGGATGGCAGTAAAACAGAGAAGCAAACGCTACAATCTGAAACTGACTTACCGAGCGAATGCAAACGGCATGTCACGTGCTCGTCTGGGGTGATGTACACCATCAGAGTCACAAGGCTCGCTCAGGACTGCCGTGGAGTTAATGGCGATTGGGATTGGTAACCTGTTGTGCCACCACCACATCTTCCAGTGCCACATCCATTAAGTAGTGACTGGTGAAAACTGTATCGGATTTAAAAAAGCATCCTTCCATGATGGATCTACTGGAGCAATTACTATGGAGGGCCATCGTGGAGGCTACCACTCTGATCTCATGAGGGTTGTTAGGCCGAGGAGGGTCCAAGTCGGCGGCTTCATAAGCCTGGAGAATGATGGCTCGCAACCATAACGCCAAAGTGTTACGACTTACTTCTCCCTTGGATGCCTTCGAGACAGGAATAAAGAGCCGTTTCCTCGCACCACAATGAGCCTTACACTGACGAAGAAAACACTAAAGTGCACGAACAGGGCATAAATGAAGTTCCGCATCATCCTCAGATCCCACAATCGAAGAGAGAGGCAGAATCGCAAGGAGAAAAACCGTCTTCTTGGTGAGATCGTGAAAAGAGATGGCGTGAAGCCGCTCGAATGGTGCCTCCCGCAACAAACGAAGCACGACGTTCGGGTCCCAAGCAGACGGCCTAAACTTGGCTTCTGGTCCTCTAGAAGGAAATAACGCAACAAAGCTTGCAATTCTGGAATCTTGGTCATCTTTCTGTCCTCTGGAACAGATTACACTTTCTTAATAAAGTACAGATTCTAGTACTTTTTGGGTTGGGTCCCATCCGGGATTCGAACCCGCAGCCCCTTCGTTTGTGGCGATTAGGTGCCTGACTCAAAGCGTGCGGGTTCGACTCACCCCAAAAGTACTAGAATCTGTACTTTACTAAGAAAGTGTAATCCCAAATATAACATATGTTACGTTTGACCACTTTCTAAAATGGCATTTAGTATTTCATAGAAGAAATTCAGTCAAGAATTGACGATATGCAGTAACAGGATCCTGGTGTTTGTCCTTGCAAACATCTCAAAGGATCTCCATTTGGCGTCTTTTAAAACTTGAGTTAAGGGTCTGTGTCCCAAAGTTATGGCCTTCGCAGCTCTAGCTGAATAGCCCTTGGCGCTTAGAGCCCTTTGCAAATGTACCAGGCGTGCAGACAAAACTGCCCTGGAGCCGGGTGTGGAAGTCTGCTGTGTGGGTGTATCAGCAGAGTTGTCCACTCTGGTAGCTTTAGAGGATCGTGGGTGACGAACTTTCTTAAATCCACGAACCAACTCTTCGTTGGAGAAAATCAGAGAGCGGTGGTGAGTCACTCTGACCTTTTGAAGGACCCTGGGTAGAAGTACCGGTGGTGGAAAAGCGTACGTGCTTAGGTTTTTCCCACACTTGTGGATCTGGAACCGGAGATATGTAGGTTCGGATCGGGAAGCTCTGACTGGTGGCAATGTTTGGATGCCCGAGAAGGCGACAAACGATGTCGAACGGCTCCAGGTGTAGCTTCCATTCCGTGGGCGCTATCCTGTCCGGTCTGGAAAAGTCGTCCGCAAGAATGTTTCTGCAACCTGGAATATGCTGGACGATCAACTTCAAGTCCAGACGATCGACAAGATGAAAATATCGAAATGCCTGATGCAACAGTGATGGAGAATGAGTTGCGAAGACACCAGACCACCGTGGTGTTGTCCGTCGATGTGATGAGTTCGGCATGCTGAAGGCACGACTGCCAATGAGACACGGCCGGAATGACTGCCTCCAACTCCAGATTGTTGATATGCCACTGGCTTAGATCGGTGGACCACCGCCCTGCTATGACCTCTCCCTCAAGATGGGCTCCCCAGCCCTGGAGAGATGCGTCTACGAATAGGCATAGAGTGGGTGTTAGCTCGGTCAAGGAGGTGTTGTAAACATTTGTTCGAGGTGAGATTGTTAACGGTGGATTGTCTATCAGTGAAAGTCGATAGCCCCAACGGAAGATGTTGGTGATGAACGGGTCTCCCAATAACCGCCAGTTCTTCCTATATCGACCCAATCTCCCACCTACTGGGGTGTCTGTGACCGGAATGGCTTGGGGTGGGAGTTCCCAGTCGTTGTGGTCCTGGTCCTCCCTCTACCGGAATTCCTGTCCCGGCCTCTACCCTGAACGGTCTGGCTGGATTAGGGCTGGGAGAGGTGCGCCGAGGTTGATAATTCCCTACCCTGGGAACTTTAAGCGCTGAATTCTTCGAAACTTGTTCCAGGGCCTTGAGGGCCGTCTCATCATGAGCATAAGCAGAAACACGGGAGTGTGTGTTGGAAACTTCACCATTAAAAAGGGAGGAAGCAGACTAAGGCTGACTAAGGAGTCCCATTCTGAAAGAGCCAAATATTGACAAACCACTCAAAGACGCTGTAGTAGATAAACCAGACATCATCGTAGTGATGTTGATGAAGAACCAAGTACCTCATTAGCAGCCGGGGAGATAACAGTCTTGAGAAGCAGACATCCTGCGTCTGTAAGCTGGTTGCGTGAGTCACTTGCTAGAAACCCGCAAATACTTATTGAAAGCTGTGGGAGAAAGTCAGAGGCAAGAGCACACTTGGATGTCAGGGAACACTGCCGAGTACAGTAGAAACACCTCGGATGGGGGTCCCTGCTTCACTTGCTGCCCTTGCAGGCAATACAACGTGGCACAAATCTGCAACAATAAGCAGAAGCCCAAAACCAATAAAGTATGTAAGAAAATACACACAAATAAAGACACAACCATTATTTCCCGCCTACCAAAAACATGGTTAAGGGAAAACTACATGCTTGTAATATATACTAAATGAGTAACAGATACCTTTAGTAACTAATATTGTAGTATATAAACAGAACATTGGTAAAGTAGCATAAAAGAGACTTCCAAGAAATAAACCAGCAAAACCAGAGCGGAACACGAGGCCGTGTTCACGTGCACTGAATGCAACATGGCTAAATGGAACAATCAGACGCACGATATAAACATGAATCGAATAAATAGCGTGCATACCAGGGAAACACACAATTACTCTTCTCTTCAAATAAAAAGTCACAAACCGTTTCTTGAAGAAATTATCCAACAGGAAAAAACGCCAACAGAAAAAACGTGTTAAGTCGCAAGTTTAATCCAAGCAGCCTGGTGACAAGCAGTGATGTGGAGATACGTGACGTCAGCACTTTCCGGGTCACGTGGGCGCAGTGCGATGGCAGTATGGTGGCTCGCTTAGTTGGAACGACTTCTCTTCGATGATTCCATCGCACAGCTTCGTCTTGTCAAAGGAAAGCAGTAAATGCATTAAGGAGTAATGCAGGATAAGGTGAAAAATATATATTGTTGTAGAGGTACTCTGAAAGAGGCAGAAGGAGGTCTTGCATATATTTTTGTAAGATTTCCGAGCTGTCAATTTGTCTTTGTCACCCGCTATCTTTGTTGACACTGGCAAGCTCGGTTGTAACGGCAGCTTATCTGATTGGCTACTGTGAGAATGCGGAGCCAGCAAAGAGAGGTAAGGAAATCATCGGCTCGAGCCGTAGTTGCATCCAGGGTATAGTGGAGATTTATGCTACTACTACTACTACTACTACTACTACTTCTACTACTACTACCACTGCTCCTACTACTGCTGCTGCTACTACTACCACTATTACTCTTCCTCCAACTGCTGCTACTACTACCACTATTACTCCTCCTACTACTGCTGCTACTACTCCTACTACTACTATCACTAATGCTGCTACTACTACCACTCCTACTACTTCTGCTGGTGCTACTACTACCACCACTTCTACTACTCCTACTACTGCTGCTACCACTACTAATACTACTGCTGCTAGCACTACCACCACTACTACTACTCCTACTACTGCTGCTACTACTAATACCACTACTACTCTTACTACTGCTGTTGTTGCAACTGTTTTCACTATCTAGTCTATTATACTATTCCCAGCACTTGTTACTAATACCTACTACTTACAGCGCTGCTATTACAACAGCTACGTGCACTATATGCGCCTCTGTAAATACCACAACTGCAACTATTATTAATACTCTCGTTTCTCAAACATTTACTGCTTATTCTGACAGCGCCCTTTTCATCTTTTTTAGTATTTTCTGTCGTTGAGTCTGTAATGCAATAGTTGCTTACCAGTTTCACCTGACTTTTGTTCAGACCCATGTCGTAATAATAGAACGAGTAGTTGCTCAGATAAGGGAAGATGTATTTATCCAGAGTCATGATCATCTCCTGGGATTCATCAAAGTGATCCGCTGACGCTGCCGTCACAAAGGCATATTTCCTCCTCTCCTGTATGTTGAAAACTCCCTTTATCCTCTGCAGTGCCCCCTCTTTGAGTTTGGTCACGGGCGTAAGAATATTGCGGATGTTTTCTTGGCTGTCAGCCACCGGAAGTGGGTGTTTGCAGGCAGCTGTATCATTGCACATGTCCACTGGAATATTTATACAAATAAGAAAGATGAATTGCAGTTTAGATTGTCTTGTACTAATATGGCTGGAATATGTCTGTATTCATGTTAAACAGAAAGACAAATAGGAGACAGATATGTTTCTGTGATAATACGGCGAGGAGGTATACTGTACTTCCTTCCAACTGCCTTTGCTGCCATTGATGTTTCATTCATAACAATGTGAACTTTACATTTCCACAGAAAAGTACGTAATGAGTACCAAATCATAACTTTGAATGATAGAAGTAGAACTAATTCAGTTCCTTTCCTCAATACCTTCGACAGAGAATGAGAAAGAAAAGGAAAGAGATAGGAAGGAATGAGAGAGGCACAAATTAAATACTAATCGTTTGAAGCGAGGAACAAGTGGACCACAAAATTTGGCATTCTTACATGTCTTGGTTTCCTTGCCAGTGCACAGTGGATGGGGAGGTAACTCGGACCAAATTTGTTTCTTCTTCAAGTCTGAACCACAGATACAAAACATATCAAACAAACAAATGTGAATATTATACATGATGCTAACAAAATTGTTCCGTTTAAAAAGCAAAAGGTTGATTACAACTAGTCAAATGTGACTTGCTTTTTAATTATTTAACTATGTCTTTAAACAGTATTTCAAGGCTTGGTGTGGATTGAAACACTGATCTGATATGTAGGTCTTAGCTGTTTGACACCTTCGCAAACACGAGGAGTGAGTAAATGAGTTATACTTCACCCGGGCTTTGACCCATAACACGATGAACTTAACAGTGCCGACAAACTACCATAATCACAAATTCGAACCAAAGACGTTTGTAAATGTTTCAAATTGTTTTTCATGACCTACATGTACATTCATCACTATACATTCATGAACCTAACCAATCCAGACACACACAGGCACGCAGGCACACACACACACACGCAAACACTATTTAAATGCATCAATTGCATAGTCAGACCCTTTTGCCAATCTGAATGAATGTTTATGGCAAGCACATCTGTTAAAGTAAATGAAAGAAAATCAGTGTCTATGTATTTCTCAGTTGTGAAAGTATGAAGTCTTACTTGCTACTTTCGCCCGAAAAAATGTCAACCAGTTGACTGGTTTCGAAACTGCCATGTCTGACAAGCTGCGTGTCTGAAATCACACGAATAGAACCAATATTAAAGTAATGTATGAATATACAGTAATCGAGTTTAGTTTTACGCCGCATTCAGCAATATTCCAGCTATATGGCGGCTGTCTGTAAAGAATCGAGTCTGGACCAGACAATCCTGTGATCAAGAGCATGAACATCGCTCTGCGCAATTGGCATGTGTCAACCAAGTCAGCGAGCCTGACCACCCGATCCCGTTAGTCGCCTCTTACATATTACATTTGACCTCTTCCTAAATGACATTGTGTATTCAAATTCATTTCCCGTTTAAACCTTTAAATTGTTTTGACTACATTTGACTTAACTTAAAAACAATATACAATGACTAAAATATGATACAGAATGTTAAAATAAGACAGACACATTAAGAAGAAAACTATTAGAACATGTTTAGCTGGTTGTCAGCTGTGCAAGCCCGTATATAGATATACAACAGATAATTATTGTCTGTTTTCCTTCAACAACATTTACTAGACATATAATCACTGTCCAACCAGACTGGAACAGTTCCGCGGGACTGTAACATCTATTACAGTATGTGTTTGAATGTGTAAGTTGTTATCGTACGTCTCAATGACAGATCAAATTATATACATGTATACATGACCTTCCATTAATTAACATGTGTGTCTAATACAAATGCATAAAAATATAACTATCATACTGGGTAACCTTCATCAAGACCTTAGTCGCGGGTAAAATATATATTCGATAACTTTTACCATTCAGTTTCTCTCTTTGCAGTACTGTTGTGTTTTCACTTTTCCTGTGTTCACATTCTGTAAACAAAACAAGAACACAATTACAGGACACTATCACAATGTATAAATATCACTTATACATCCCTTTAATTGGTTTCACTCGCATATTGAAGACATGAAATCCATAAGGCCTGTCAACACTGGACGTGTTTTCTTTGGGGCAGGCCATGCCTATCCTTTTATCCTATGTTCAGTGATACAATCATAGAATTTCCACCGCATTTCCCCCTTTACACCACACGGAATCTGTTTCCGGGGATAGTCAAGGTGCTGTATTCTTGTGCACTGACGTTCAATATTTAGATTCACACACATGTATTTACACATACCCTTACATGAAGTTGTTTCAAGTTAACATATGTTACATGTGGGGCTACACTTTCTCAGTAAAGTACAGGTTCTAGTGCTGTTGTTGGGTTGAGTCCCACCTGGGATTCGAACCCACACCCTCAGCGTGAGGCACCTAATCGCCGCGGTGGTTGAGTGGGTTAGGTGGCTGACTTTGTGTGTGGCGATTAGGTGCCTGACTCTGAGGTTCGAATCCCAGATGAGACGCCGCCCAACAAAAGTCCTAGAATCTGTACTTTACTGAGAAAGTGTAATCCCAAAAGTAACATGTTGCATTTGACAACTTTCTAAATGTCAGGTGTATTCATGAAGTGTGAATGAGCCAGCCTGCTACAAAGAATCTAGTCGTTGATGTTATAAGCACCAATCCATTCACACTCATTAGAAGGTTGTTTAATCCACCAAGTCGCCCTGGTCGCATATTACGTACAGTTAAAGAACTTAGTAGGAGAGTGTTGGTGGGTAGAATACTCCTTATGGTTTCGTTCCTAGCGCCTTAGCAAGAGACTTAGTCCAGCCTTTGTCTGTTCACCAAGAAGAGAATGGTCACCCAGTTCAGTGACATGGCTATATGTGAATGCATAACCTTCTGGGGCAACCTGGACTATACTCACAAAGGAGCTGAGAACATAACTGCAAAGCCTCTTGCATGTAAACATAGGAACATCCATGGTAATACATAAGCCATCATCATCATCATCACCAAAATCATCATCATCATCACCATCAACACCGACATCATGAACACCAATGTCAGTCATGTTTCACAATTTTTCCCTTACTCACGATATCTGTTTTTGTTCGTGAAAACCCAAGGTAGCTGAAAACACACCATAGACCAAGCAGTGCCACGGAAACTGAAACAAATGCATACCAGTGTCATATCTATTCAAGTAGATATACTATGACACAAGGTTAAGAAATGGACACTACATTATATTGATGTACCCTGATCATCCAACATTGCAAAACGCTACAGCAGAAATGCTAATATTGTTAGATATCAAAGGGAAATTTTATCTGTTAAAGTTGAAGTCATACTTCTCCTTTTGGCGGTACATTGTCACACTCTATGCATATAAATTGAAATATGAGTTTGTTTGTTGCCCCAGACAATGGTTTACAGCGCTGATGTTTGCAACACGAATATGGTGACATACAGGACCTAGCCAGCGAGTCCGACCACCTGATCCTATTGGTCATCAAACAATGCTAGTTCCTATATCCATTTCAATTACTCCTCTAGCTGACGAGTCAGTCTCGCTGCTTTCGTCATCCGTCACGCTATCTTGTCTTGTAGATGTTAATATACGTCAAAATCATTTTACATACCCTTTACAATCCTACAAGACCTCCTCCGGAGACTGCCCATGATTCGAACCTGCAATTGTAAACATTTCAGAGACGATCGTGAAATAGTGATACTTATATCTGTGTACACTCTGTCCTTACCACTATTTATTACCTACGAGGGCGAAAATAGCATGGTTCATATTTTTCATACGATGCCCTACGGCAATATATCACTTTGTCATATGACGTCACGTTTCTTCTATGACGTTGCGTCCTACATGCGGCGACGGCGGGGAGCCAGCCCATGTTTGAAAGTAGATTTGGTTTTATTATCCTCAATTTAACGACTTCTATAATAAATAGAATATTATATTCGTTCCCATATTATACTATGTTTACACTCGTGCCTAAATATCGGTATATCCCTCGCTCTCGCTCTGACATATTTAGGCACTCGTGTCGTAAACATAGTATGACATGGGCACTCATATAATATCTTCTATTAACAGGTATGCTTGATACCATTGCCATGATCTTTGGCTGAGGTATGTGGTGAGGCGTGTGTGTGTGTGTGTGTGTGTGTGTGTGTGTGTGTGTGTGTGTGTGTTTGTTTGTATCTGTGTATCTATAATTTACCTCTTCGTGTCATTTCTGAGACTGTGTGAGTGTGCATTGTATGAAGTGTTAGTGCTTCACAGTGCATGTGTGTGTTTTTGTGTTGTGTATGTTTGTATTATGTGTGTACTTTTGAATGTGTCTGTTTATATGGTGTGTGTGTATGTGTGTGCGTCTGCGGCTTGCGCGTCTGTATTCGGCACTGCTATCTCATTTTCGACATCATATAACAACGTACTGAAAACGATGACAAGCAGCACAGTATTTTGTCTTGTGTGTTTGTTGTTCAACGCTGCATTCCGCTAGTGTTCTTTCATACGAAGACATAGAGGATATTAAATCAGTGTCCATGTCATACTATGTTCACGACACGAGTGCCTAATTGCTGGTATTTTCCAAGCGAGAGCGAGGGATATACCGATATTTAGGCACGAGTGTCGTAAACATCGTTTTCAGTACGTTGATGGAAATTCTGTTTCATCTAATTTGAAAACAACAATGAATGTGCCGTCTGTCATGAATATCGCTATAAATTGAGGGTGATTACATAGATGGGAAGTTTATCATATTTCACACTGAAGCTGACAAAACTCTTCTCGCACCTTATGACGGCTCAACAAAGACGAGTTGTATTCTTTCTACTTTTATTACCGACGTAGACCCACTGACGTACAATTGCGGGGTAGAAATTCTATGCGAGAAGTGCTTCTCGTGGGGGTACATGTGTTCACGCTGGGCGTGCATGAGCGCAAACAGGAAACAAGAAAAGATAACTCTAGTTGTCACTAGCACAATGGAATAGAAGCGTTCATAAAATGTCAATAACTATAGCAGAGCCGGGACAATTACCTGCGCAGCATGACTGCATGACACACCTTAAATTTACGTAATATTGTCGAAACATAATTACGACACGATATGACTCTCTACGAAGAAATTTGGTGATTAGCATATGACCCCTATCTATGAAATCAAAGGTTCGGAATCTAAATCTCAACCAATGGCGTCAATATCGCGTGAACCGTTCCGCAAAAGAAATACACTCATGCATATTCATGATCCCACGACCAAGTTTCGAGTCACAAGTACCCGTGTCGTTTCCTATTGTTGCAAAGTAGCGACAATTTCATGCATTTTGTATCAATAAGTGACCCTTCGATTGTATTCATGAGTATTTATTTCGTCAGATATCTGTGATTTCTTGTCAACAAAGTTTCAAATGTTGTTTAGTTTCGAATGTAGGGACGGTAGGGTAGCCTAGTGGTTAAAGCGTTGGCTCGTCACGCCGAATACCTGGGTTCGATTCCCCACATGGGTACAATGTGTGAAGCCCATTACTGGTGTCCGCCACCGTCATATTGCTGGAATATTGCTAAAAGCAGCGTAAAACCACAATCATTCACTCCGCCCAATACAATTTAACCAGTTGCACGTGGTAAATTTCAATCCCACAGAGCCTGGTACAGAGCAATCCTCAAATATCTCTCAATCTCATCTGAATACAACTCATATTCGCATGTCCGATGTAGTGAGAGAGAGTTACCTCCCTTGAACCAGGGATAATGCGGACCAGACAAATGAATGGTGTGAGATGTGCTCGGCGATCCAGGCCACTGATTCGAAGACAGGTTTTCACCCATGCCACCAAGCCACCAAGCCATCGAGCCTATGTCCATAAGGGGACATCGTATTACCAGCACTGGCTAGAGACCTCGTCTCACTCATTCTCAAAAACGGGGTGCAAATGATGTCAGGGCCATGCTTCTCTTAAACTTAATTAGCAAATGTTAATATCAGTATGGTTGGATAATGGTACCAACCAGGGCCCCGTTCCTCAAAGCGACCGTAGCGGTACGACAGTCGTAAGTCAATGCTAAAGTATGGGAGTTACGATCATCTTAGCAACTAGTTTCATTTTCTGCAAATTGTTTAGCCAATGCATTCCTTTTAGATAAATGAATCTGGTCTAATGCCATGTCGCCAGTTTTGAGGAAATGTCCTTGACAAATTATCAGCTTGACCTATACATGTGTAGAACACAGCAGAATCTTACCCATTCACTTTGAATGAATACATTTATGTTTACATTTATTGTATTTGTCATTATTTGGGGCTTAGAATATATCTCTGTTTAACGTATCTCAATACATAGAAGATATTCATGCGTAGAACAAAGAGTGAAATGTCCGTTACCACCGCCAAATAAGGTAATTTCACATGGTTAAGGTTACATTTAGAATGGGAAAAGAATAAAAAATACTCAAAGCTTGTGTGTGGTTAATGGTAACTTACTGCTTGATTTGCCAGAGTATGTAATCTCCGTTACTGACATATTCGTTACCAGGGTATTCGAAATTACATAGCTTGTGAAGTTCTGATACTATTTTTCAAATATCACGTAACTCCTGTCTCATCTTGTAAGTCAAAGAGGATGTATACAATCACCAAAGACGTAAAATTGAGAGTCATCCGAAATAGGAAGTAACGATGTAACAAACATTTCATTTCTAAGTTAAAAATTGACGCCATCCCTTACTGTTTTGTGATTAAGACAGACTTGCAATTGGGCAGTAGAAACGTTTAACATTACCATAAAATCAATAGCAGACAGACAGACAGACATTTTATTCAGACATCAAGGCCATTGGCTCAAAATACAATCTTGGATTAACTTTCACAATAAGTGCATAAATACACAGTAAAGAGTCCATGAATTATTCCATGCAAGGGTTGCCATGCATATAGATTTACCTGTGATATGTACACTTATCACACACCCTTTTCACGTGTAAGGGCAATTCTAAGTTTATACACCTTAAGTAAGAACTGAGCATTATCATAGACAAAGACACTGATATTCGTCGGGTGGATACCATCAATGTCATCACCGTACCTATAGGCAAAGTTAATATTGTCATCTTGAATGAAGTCATCAAAGTCTTTTGTTCTGACATTGAATTCACCAGCCATATATTTTTAGTTTATCACTATGGTTACCTGCAATAGCTTCCAGATGCTGTTCGAGAACAACCATACCATCTTCTCTGCCATGATATATTTGTTAATGCTCTGGGGAAATGTAAACAAGTATCATAAATTATCGTATCAAAGTTCCAGGACAGTTTACTGGTCTTAAATAAGAGCAAAATTACGTCTACAAATTCATCATGCAGCCTGGATATATACTGATTTGATACCCAATAGTCATTTATAAAAGCACTCAGTCCACCGTGAGGTCTCCCGCGACGTTTAGTTTTCCAGCGCATACTGCTGTATGATCGGAAACCGGACATAAACGACGAAAAGTCACCTGGACTCGAAGCGAAAGTCCCAATAAATGCCAAGATATCGTAATTTCTACAAAAGAGCTTTTAACTGGTTGTAAACTGTCATATTTCTTTAATCCCTCAATGTTCCATGATAGCAGAGACCATATGGTCTCTGGTGATAGAATACGGAAGTCAAGCGGGCCTGGGCCGTGCTTTCATTTCCTTCGATGTTTGGAGATACCTCCCTTTCTCGACCGGAGCGAGAACCGGACCAGTCCTCACCACTGTTAAAATCAGTACTTTCGTTGTCATTCATTTGGACCACTTTGTTGTTTCCTCTGTCAAACATATAAACATTCTTATAAGCGATAAGTTCGTTAACACGCATTTTCGGCCTTTTCCCCTCACTCAGAGCACGAGTAAACATTGTAGACAAAGCCCTTAGGTCCTCCCTAATTTTCTGTGGAAAATCGTCACCCTCTTTCATGTCGGAATCTTTCGGGAGTGTTGCACGGCTACGTTTATAAATGTCACTTTTATCTTTCGAAAACATAAATTTGGCCACTACAGGAGAATTGTTTCTTCTTGGGTTTAAACGATGGGCCCTTAAAAGTTGGATTTCTTCAGCGCTCGTCATGCTCAAATCCTTCCTCAGAAATGCACGTACTTAATCTTCGCTTTCCTCCCATGTTTCACCTTTGGCACCTTTGAGACCCCGGAAAACCAAATTGTCACGCCTATTCTTGCACTCTAGGTCTTCTAACTTATCCTCCAAACGAGAGACAGTAACTTCAAGTTGTCTGTTTTCCTCCATGACATTCTCGATTTGCACGTGCAGGTCCGTAGCCATTTTGTCGACTTTAACATTCAAACTTTCAGATTTACTGTTCTTTTCACGGAGTTCTTCTGAATTTGCTTAAGTATGGTTGCAATGTCAGTGTCTTCTCTACCTGTTACTCCAACGTTGCCAGTATCACTTACTGTGAGAGTTCACTGGGGTCGTGGTCCCGGGTTCTGTTCAATGTCTCCGTCGACCACCAGGAGGACGTTGAACAAAAGTTGTCAGCGACAAGGAGAACTGTCCCCCACACATGGTAATACCATGAATTGTTGTTTTCGATTTATTAGGTTGAGAAAACCCGCCAATTTTGGACCTATTTTGAGCCCGAAATACCCGGGTCCATTCGCTACTCGCGCATGCGCG